GATGGCCACTTCTCTCATCAATTCTTGTTCAGCGTCGTCTCTTACTAGATCAGGCTCGTACCTCTGAGTGCGAAGTTCCAGACATTCTCTAGATATCGCTTCAGGTAACATCAAAATTCGACAAGCACCTTTCAATCGCGCTCTATTTTCGTCTAGAATTTTGATCTCATCGGTAATAGCTTCTAGAGTCTTTTCGACCTTCGCTTTCCAATCTTCGCATTCCTTAATTCTTTTGTCCAATTCGCTATTCGAATCGTTCAACTTTTTATCCATTTTCTCAGAGGTTTCGGTTAATTGTTTTTTAGTGTTGGTTTCGAATATCTTTGCTTTGTTGACCGATTTTGGTGTAAGAACGGATTCATTGTTTAATCTCCAATCTCTGGTACTGTATCTGGTCATAGAGTATTTATCGACGACGGGTCTAACGCCTGTGATACCGGACTGTGGGGTCCAGTCTAGATGTCCTGCGGCCCATGGGTCTATGGCACCCATAGCGAGGAAGTCTCCACTCGTGGTATCGGTGGGCTGTGGGAGGTATCTTGGAGGTGCATTGGGCGGATATACCTTAGGTTCTGGAGGCCGTATGCAGCCAGGTCTGTAAGGAGAACAAGCTGATGTAGGTACTCCATCTTTGTTATGACTTGTTTCCGATTTCGCGACCGGCGGTCGGTCAGTTCCTGAAGTTGGGCAAATGTCCGGACACGTCATGTTTTTATTGAAACTCATAATGGAAGAATTTATAAGAGAAATAAATATTTTAATATGGTAAAATAAAATTATAAAATAATGTCATTATAAGATAATAATGACATTATGGAGAATTATAAAACTTGACGTAAACATTTTTTATCGACGCTTTTCAAAACGCGATTAAAAACTTTTTGTTGGAAGACTTCAATCTTAAACACACACATAAGTCTCTCAAAGGAAATAAACTAGATTTCGAACTAAAAACAATACTATTTAGTACAATTTATTGATAAGCCTGCGACACACACAGTATTACATTAATAAATTCAAAGATACCATTTCGAAAATATTGTTATATGCACATTAAAATCAAAACACAAGCGATAAAAAAAACATACAGTTAGGAAGGGTACCATTAGCTTAACTACTATGTTACTACCACGACAGTCAATGTCTGAGAAAGACTGTAGAATTGTATCAGATAATCGTGGGATTTCTAAGTACATTGTAAGGATGTAACCTACCAAATTACTAGGTACGAGTCACAAGTGTTGTTATATTGCTATTGCTGGTGTTTCCAAATAAAATGATAAGGACAGCTGCGATACAGCTATTACGATATTGGAGATTCATTGCGAAGTCTGCGGAACATACAAATATCATTTTAACATTTCAATCCATTTAAGTACTGACAATTTAACCTTATGCGTCAATAAGTGCTTCACAAACAAAATGCAACACAGTCGCCTTTCACTCTTCGATCAATTTGGGTTCCTCCAAATCGTTTCATAACAACTAGGAAACCTCAAAGTTTAATTATTGACATTAATATTTGACTTTAGATTCTTAGAACGTTGTCATACAAACAAAATAGCTATTAATAATTGCTGAATGATATCAAATAGTTGTTTTTTTAGTGTTTTGTTTTGTGCTGTGAAGAAAAAGATAAAGGTGAGTTGACATTAAATTTATTCAATCAGAAGAACGTTAGCTTTGTTAATATCCAGCCAATTCTAAAGCAGATGGATAATGGGATCGCACCATCCCGCATCTATCTCTATCAATATTTAACGTCTTCCTCTTCGATGCGATGTCTTTCTCCAACGCTATTCTCTTCTCACACAACTCTTTTCTCACTTTCTCCGCCTTTTTCAGCTGCCCGAGAAGAGATGTCACCGTTTCATGTATCTTTTTAACCTCTTCTATCAAACCGAGATGCGGCTGATCTCTCACACTTTCTCCGTGACATCTAAATGTATTACGATTGTCTAATCTTGTTTGTGCCAACTTCATAGCCGCGTCCATCTTTCGAATGGAGTTGTGGAGATCGTCTATCAACGATTCCATGTCTGCGATCTTTTGGAGGGTATTTCTCAAGGTTTCCTCCAATTTGGTGCATAATTCTTGAGTTATAGCAACAGTTTCTGCTAAAATTATATCAGTCTTATCAGCTTGAGTTCTTAATTTTCTTCCGCCGTTTACTAAAATAGCGTTTAAACTGCCTCGCAAGTCTGCAGACTTCTGTCTAGCGGCTTCACTGTTCTGTACGTTTTCCCTACAAAAAAATTCCCAATATTCCAAGGGTGCTGAAAACTCTCCGAATCTAGTGGAGCCAGGTTTAAACAGTATAGTGTTTGTTTTAGTATTAAGACCTATGTTCATAGTCTCGGTATCATAGGCCATAGTTTTGTCGCACCAATCGTATTCGATCCTATGTTTGGCGGCCTTGTTTATCAGCATTTGTTCTTCAATTTTCTCGAGTGTACTTTTTAGTGTAGCTCTTACATCACTGACGAGGTTCATTTCTTTAATCAGTTCCTGTTCGGCTAAATCAGAGACTAGATCTGGTTCGTACCGATTTGAACGTAGATCCAAGCACTCCCTAGATATAGATTCCGGCAACATTAGAACTCTGGAAGCACCTTTAAGACGTTGTCTTTCTATCTCTAATAGTTCTACTTCTTCTGTGATAGCTTTGCAAGCTCTTTCAACTTCTACTTTCCATCTGTATAAGTCTTTAGCTTTCTGTTTAAGTCTTTCGTTGTTGTCGTTCTGTTGTTTATCAATGGTACCAAACGCTTGCATCATCGCTGTTTTAGCATTGTAATCGATTATATTCGATTCAGTGATCACTGTCGGGTCTAAGACTCTTTCGTTGTGATGCCGCCATTCGTTCAGAGAGTACCGACTTATGGAGTATTTATTTACTTTAGGTCTTGTACCCGTCATGTCCGCGAGTGGTGTCCAGTCTACTTTACCATCAGGCCCAGGTTTGATTTCAAAGTAATGTTGCTCCCCAGTCTTCGGCTCTTTTTGTTCCTCGGTTTCATCTTCACCTTTCTTTTGATCAGCGCCTTTCGCTTTAGCATCCTGGGCCTCTTTTATCTCTTCTTTGACTTGTTCCGGACTCTTCTCTGCCTTTTTAAATGCACCTATATCTGTGCATACTTTTGGGCATTTATTTTTCTCCGGAAAAGTGGTCAATGTCTCCATGGTTTAAGTAAAAAATCGAAAATTATGTAAAATTGTTAATCAAAATATTGATCAATTGAACTGTCATTCTGTCAGTTAAAAACAAAAATCATGACGTTTTATTATACCTTTTTTTATTATAAAAGAGGTTTCAATGTTTTAGCAAAAAAGTTTCGGTCTTGAATTACAAAAAACCGTTTACATAAGTATAACATATCCTTTATTTAAATATGTTTGAATACCGTTAAACTTTCTGCGTCATACAAACGGGTGATATCGGATACAAAACTAGTTTGTCACGCGGCGTCACCCACTTAGAAAGTGGCCGCAGCCTTCGGTCAGACATGCAACATATATTGATAGATCACAGTACTTATGGTATTTAAGATTTTATGATATTTTGCTTATTATGAGTATGCTAATAAAAATTTGGGCCTTGCCATAGATAAAACAATTTCAAAAACATTTTATAAACATACCGTAACTAGTGGTTCCAGATCTTTCCAAATTATGTTGATAAATAAATAATAAATTTTATCGAAAGCATTTAACTAAACATTGTCTAAATATTAAAGTCATATTCAACCTGTACCATTTAAAAAATACCATATGCAATCTGAATTTCCTCTAGGCGCGGTGAAGGGAGGCAACGTTAGCCAATGTAAACACGTAGCCTTGACTTCACGTATACTGGTAAACGTCGATGCACTTTTATTGTACACAATACATGTCTAGGCAATACTAATATTATAAAGAGGAAAGATTTGTTTTTTTTTGTAATACTATTAAGAGGAAAATCCTATCTACAAATAAACTTAAAAACTACTTAATCGATATCCAAAAGTCACCACAAGTAAACAAAATTACCACTAAGTTGTTGTTTTTTTTTTAATTCGCACGATCGTAGTCATGAGCAACAACTAGTACCGTCTACAAAGATTTTTTTTAGCCAATGTTTTTTCAAAGCAATTGAAAATGACCGAACCTCACTAGTAATAACGGGTTCAATTGTTTAGGCTACAAATCGATTGTATTTACATACAGAGATACTGATAATGTATTTACGTGACCAGCATTAAGGTAGGGCACGATAGGGCAACCACCCAGGGCGATGGAAAGACTTATATCCCTTTAAAAGACCTAAAAAAGGCGCCGTAGAAATCTCAGAACTTTAGACTTTTTAGAAATTTAGACCCTTTGTCATCATCATCTCCTCTGGCTTATCCTACTCCCGTAGTGTTAGCGCACTGGGTTTTCGTCCTCCAAATAACTCTATCATCCGTCATCTCAGTCACCACTCCCTTCTTGATCGTGTCACCTTTCACGCAATCCATCCATCTCTTTCTATGTCTACCTCTACCGGTGGATCTCCACATTCATAACTAACGTCCGTCTTGTTACGTGCGATTCATCTTTTCTCATAACATGCACATACCACGCTAACCTTTTACTCCTTATTTTCTCAACCACTGGGGCTACTCTCAGACACTTGTTTTAACCGAAAAGTAAAAACTAAATTATAATAATGTATGTAAGAGGCCAATTTAGATACAAAAGTCATACAAAATATATAGTGTTAGAGAAATCTTTCTCGTTACAAAGAAGTCTAAGTCTAAGAAGGCCTACGTTCAGCAGTGGACGACCTATGGCTGATAATGATGATGATGATGACAAAGAAGTCAGTGACCGACGACGGTCATCTAAATGGTAACGTTACGAACAAAACCATTTACTTTAATAGTTTGAAAGTTGTCACTTGTGTTCCGTGATGTAAACAATATAAACAACGCTTTTATGAACTTTTACTTTTTACGATGAAACATGATTTTATTAAAATTATTATGGTTTAAAATTATTTTAGAGGTAGACATAAAAAGAGATGGATGGATTGCGTAAAAGATAACATGATCAAGAAGGGAGTGATGACTGAGATGACGGATGATAGAGTTATTTGGAGGACGAAACCCGGTGCGTCGGCACTACAAGAGTAGACAAGGTAGGTGAGATGATGACAGTTTTAAATGCAGACGACAAAAGAATGTATGGATATGTTTAAACTTGGAAGAGGATATGTTTAAGAAGGGAATGAAATCAGATATGACGGCTGATAGAAATGTATGGAGCAGCACATATTGTGCCGACCTTTCGAGAACTTTCTTCACAAAGGTAATGAGTTCGATGGTGACATGCGTTTATCTATACTAATATTATAAAGAGGGAGATTGCATGTGTTTAACTAAATGGTGTTTAACAGAATTTGATGGACGCGATACGTTCGTCTCATTCCTTAGCTACCTACCATGTGTGGTGACAACAGTTATCTGCTACGTGACAGTAACAGTTATCTTTTTTTTTACTCGAGTAGCGGTGTTTGTGTCGGCATACCACTGTGTTTACACCGGGCGTTACTCGTGTGTAACAAACATTTCAACAAAGGAAATGACGGGAAATTCACAACCGGAATAAATATCGAATTTTATTAATTACTTGTTATGGAAGACATCACCGTGAATAAAAAAAATATGTGTTCTTCCAGATTACATTTATGCCAAATTTCAACGAGATCAATTCAGTCTAGGCTACAAACTCTAACATTCATCCATCTAAGCTTTCCTCTATAATATAAGTAAGAAGTAAGTCAGCAGATAGGTAGGGTCGACGCAATAGGTTTTCGTTCTCCAAGTAAATCTATCTTCAGTCTTCTCAGTCATTACTACCTTTTTGATGACACATTTCTAACAATCCATCCATCTCTTTCTACTCTTATCTATACTAGTGTACCTCCATACATAATCACCACATATATATTAAAAAATAGCCCGGAAGAATATTTCAAAGTCATGAAATCCGTACTTGAAGACGTAATCTTTAATGTAATTAAAGGTCGACACACACTTGGTTCTTATTGTGTCGTGCCAAGGCAAAAATAAAATTAAGAACTTTGACATTAAGTTATAAATGTGACTGTTTTAAATAAATGTTTTTCTAAGTTGATTTCTCGTTAAAACGCTTATCGTCAAACTAGTTTCTCAGTCAGGGCGTAGATATAATTTCGACATAACTTACAGCTTGATACTTATTCTATGTGTATAAAGGAATATACTTATAAACTATATCTTACTTCTTACTAATATTATAAATGCGAAAGTTTAGATGGATGGATGTTTGTTAGAGTTTGTAGTTTAAACGGCTGAACAGATTTCAATGAAAGCTATAGATGTAGAGGAAAGTCTGGAAGAACACATAGGCTACTTATTTTTGTTTTGTTCAATTCCACTCGAACGGCGTCGGGCGGCGGGCGAAAGCTAGTTTCAAAATGAAGCCATCCATCATTCAACCTTTCTTCGGTTTTCCTCTTCCTTCCAAATATACGAAAATAAAGCCGTAAAACCTATTTTTACACTGCTATTAAATTGTTATTAATTTTTAACTATATTTAACAACACTTTCACATCTTCTTTTTATTTTAAAAGTGAAAACAGTCCACTATAAAAATAATTACGTCTAGCTCTAATTTCCGTTTCCCGGTCGAAGCGAACTGACAGGTTGTTTTTTTTTAAAAGGTGCAAGGAATCCAACGCGGTGAGCCACACCTGCCATCGAGCCGGATGTTAATGCATGCTAGCAATGTTACCGGTAAATCGGGCACGTCGACCGTTTTTAATTTGGCTAGATATACACACGAAAAATAGATATAATTTATAAAATTATATGTAAATGTCATTTGTAATATAATAGCCGCGAATATTCGATTACTAATTTGCCGAGTTTACAATGTCGGGTCAAATTACAAACGTGCGGAATACACGATTTGCAGGTGACAACAGACTAAATAATTCGAATGTGTGCATGTTTACATTACAGGCAGTAAAATCTCACAGTACTTGTGTGACCAAAAACTGCAACTTGAGGCCTTTTGCGTAACATTTGACATTTGCATGACTAATAAATCAATTATTTTATAACATCATCACTAAATTAAGTAGTTACAAATACAAAGGAAACATTAAAAATACGATTAAGCTAATTTTAAATAAAATACCGAAGTATTTTGATTATGAAAAAAGACATATTTAACCAACAAGACGGTAGAATTCTAAGGAGATACTCCCACATTGCACTTTTTAGCACTAAAAAACATTTATAAATAACTAGCCAGAGCAGGTATTACTATAAAGTCCATGTGTGTACATTGTTAGTTCAAATAACAAGGTCAATTCACAAAAATGTGCATTCAACTTTCACCGTGTTGTAACAATTTATCACTGAATGTTTACATTGTGTTGGGATCGCTAATTAAGTTTCCTATAGTTGCTTATTAACGTATTATGGTATCTTTAAAACTTACCAGAAAACAGCTGCAGCCATCCGCAGATGTGGAAGACGGTTGTCGATTGACAGAAGAAGAATAACAACATCGCGCATATAGTAAACAATGCTAATGCGACCGCCGCCCCCACTAACACAGTCGCAATCTTAAAAACCAATCCATTTATTGAAAAGAAATCATCCAATCTTCCTTTGCAATCATCAACCGCTTCATCAGCTCTGCAAATCTGCCACAAACCAAACTTCCTCGGATACTCCGTCTCTAAATCGCCGATCCATTCCGGTGTCACGAAAGCAACAACGCTGATAATCGCATAGCAAATTGTGAATATAGCCCAAAGCACACCTATAGCTTTCGAATTACGGACGTAGTTTGTAGCGTATAAGTGTGACGAATCAACGTATTCGATTTTCGAACCCATATTGTCGTTTATTTGGTCGTTATTATTGAATAAATTATGTTGAACACATTTTTTTTGTTAATTTTAATAAGAAACACTTGTTTGAGGGAACTTAAAACATGTCACGAAGTAAAAGTATTTAACAACACGAGGACACGAATATGACACTGAACGAACGTTATTCAAGACGAGGCGAAACACGAGACTAGCGCTCGTTCGCAGCGCGCCATTTCGAATTATAGTCGTGGTGGGGATAAGTAATGAACTTAACAGTACAAAGCACTCTTTGTGCTAAACTTTGTGACGATTTAAGTTGAATATTTGTCGAAATACACTTGTCTCAAAATTACTCGGAGTAAAAAGAAAAAATGAAAGTTCAAGTTAAGTTCTGACTATTGACCATTCCTCTTGATGACACTAATCTTCCTCGTAGCGACATCTGTTAACAAAGTAAGGCGCATTGCAGAAAAATCATTAAATCACTTATAGCGCTATCTAGTATTCAGTAGACACATCAATTTGTTTAATGAAGGAAAATTAATGCTTTTCAGCAAGACACTTTATTTTCCTAAACATTTTTTGTATTTAAAAACTTTTGAAGAATTTACGTATTTAATTTTTCAATTACGCGATCATTTTTCTATAAAATATTTAGTGATGGTAACACTTTTTTTCGCACGTCAGAAATAGTTTTCTCGGTTCGCTGATTTCGTGATTGTGTATAAACATTTTCCTTATATTCATGAGAATTCTTAAAAATATTTAATCTCTTCCTATAAAATTCATTGTTTGTATAACAATACATACGGTTTAAATGCGCAGAAACGCGTAATTCTTTACAATATGTCGACTAAAGACAAGTGGGTTCGCCGGTTCACCGTTGATGAAACTGCAAAACACAAAAATGGATTTACGATATACAAAATTACTTCTGTGGTACGTGTTCTATGTCTTTTTATAAATAAATCTTCAAAGTAAGTGTATTTATTGACTTGAACTTACCAAACATTTTTTTGTTTGTTTTGTGATTTTTACAATAAAAAACTTACATTATTTTATTCCGTAGCTATAAGTATTGGTTATACTTTGAACATAAACATTATAATCAAAATACCTGCGTAGAAATGTAAAAAAAAGTTCTATGAATGAGTAATTTCAAATTGCACAATACTTTTCAATTGATATTTTAAACTAAAGTAAAAAGAGTCTAGGGATTGCACTCGTCACTATTTTGGTGAATTCCTGCAGCCACCTGTCACCTTATACAGTCAAAAAGAAAGTTTAAATTAATTTGTGATTATCCAGTTATTTCCATTGGAGTCTCCGGAGGCAGTAACTGTGGTGTCAGTATGGAAACGCTACAGCGACGTCCAGGCATTACACCGCAGTATAAAAGCATTACATTCCGGACTACATCTACGAGGAACTTTCCCTGTACTGCCAAAGAATAACTATTTTAAGAGATTTCAATCTGAGGTATAAATATTAGAATTACATATTTACTAGCTTATATAGACATAGTATACCTATGTGTTACAGACTTTGTTCAATATCTGTCCTAAATTTCATGCAGATCTGTTCAACTGTTTAGGTGATAGCTTCTAACAAATATCTAATCATCTGTTTCAAACTTCCATTATTTATTATGTAAATTTATTTTCTTACTAGCTGTTTCTTGCGACTCCGTCCATGAAAAATTAAAAAATAATGAAAAACATAGCCTATGTTACTCACAGATAAATTACCTTTCAGATGGTGAAAGAATTTTTAAAATTGGCCCAGTAGTTTTTACATAAATTCAGTACATACAAAAATACAAATCTTTCCTCTTTGTGATATAACACATTTGGTAGTTTTTTTAATTGTAACATTTGTTATTAAGTATTTGTTTATAATTATTGAAGTTTTCTCTCTCTTGTAATTTAAAAATGGCATAAGATAATAATTTGAGGTATATGTTTAACTTTTCAGGTAATAGAAGAAAGAGCAAAATCAATAAAAACCCTGCTTGAATTTGTCGCTGAACATAAATTGTTGTTCACTAGTACTGTTTTTGTCAATTTCCTTCAAGTAAGTGTTACAATATTATAATAGAAACATTGGTACAGTCAGGGCCTTTTGCGGTGTTACACTTACAGAAAAATTGTCTTATACCTTGTGATGAGGCAAAATTCACCTTTTTGCAGATATACAATTAGGTAGCAGTGATGTCTGTTTATATTTTTTAGTATATTCCTACAGGTTTCTTTTATTTCGGTAGTATTAGTAAATAGTACAGGTAATCTTACCCTATTAATTACATTCTCTGGGTTGCCTGTAAGAGATTTATAGCAAATAGGCCCACCCTTTCACAAATACTGTAGTTTAGTTCTAGTATACTTAGGGCTTGTCCTACCACTGGCTGATAGAGGCTCAGATAGCTTAAAAATCACGTCACTGTCAGATAAGGTAACAAAATTCGATATTCCCATCACATATTTTACGCATTTGATTATTATTAGACAATTTACAATTTGGTGGATCAAGCCCTTATTGTAATATTTGTGCAAAAAGTAGATTCCCTGATGGTACCTAGTAAAATAGGTATTTGTCTATTTTAACTGAGAAATATTTATCAATAGCCTAATGGTTTGGGGTACAGACTACCGATCTCGCGGTTGAGGGTTCGAATCCCATTTGACTATTGTGGTGAACCATATCCTAGCACAAGCCTACAGCTTAGTTGGAATGGTTAAAGGAAGTATTAGTGAATTAACAAAACTCTACTAAAATATAAATATTTGTAGTCGGGATACCCAGAGCCAGTTCCTCAAGGTGGTGTGATCAATGCCATCAGGAGCTCTTTGCACCTCCCCATAGAGGACACTCCTCCCTTAGAGTATCAGACCTCTGACGATGACTCCCGCAGCCCTAATAGTGGTGAGTAAAACATGAAAAAAAATTAGTTGATGAAACTTTATTGTTAAATTTCATTTCTGAAATATTTTTAATTGAACATCTCTTTTTTTTTCTTAAAGTGTGAGAGGGATGAATATATTTATAAAGTTTCTATAAAATTCAAAGGTACAATTGTTTTTTCGATTTATTGGTGTTTATAAATTTGCCAAGACAAGTTAAAACCTCTGTATTATTGTTTATATTTCTAGCGAAAACACCCCAAGAGAACATGGAGTCAAAAAATGTAGATATATCCCAAATACCAATATACGAAGCAGCAGATGTAGAACTTCGTCAGTCACCAAAAAACACACGAACAGACAGTTTTGAATCTATCAACTCAATAGAAAGTATTAATAGCGATTTCTATGACGAATTAAATAAAATAACAATAGATAAAACTAAACCGAGTGTAAAAACAAAGAATGTTTTACCAGATTTAATTAATTTCGACGCCCCTTCGACGTCAAATGCGTTGAAATTCGATGACTATCATACTATGGGGACTGAAACAGATGCAATAACGAGCGATTCTCCGATACGTGTGAAAGAGATGGAGAATAGCTACATATTCGAGAGTCCGTTGTACGATACGAATACTGATGACTGCGTGACGTCACGTGCTATGGACGACGAAGTCGATGGTGTTCCGTCTCTGTCTAATGAGATGCGTGTGAAAGAGACGGAGATATACGAAGGTGTTTCCCTGTCTAGTGAAGTGCGTTCTAATGACTCGGAAATATACGAAGGTGTTTCATCTCTGTCTAGTGAAGTGCGTGTGAAAGAGACGGAGATATGCGAAGATGTGTCATCTCTGTGTAGTGAGATGCGTGTGAAGGAGACAGAAGATAGTTATGTGTTCGAGGCGGGGTATTTGCTGTCTCTGGGAGCTAGGTCTGAGGATAGTGGTCACTACCGCCGAGCTTTCCAATGCTACCGCGCGGGAATTGAGAAGATGCTTATTGGAGTTAGATGTAAGTGTTTCTTATTTAATTTATGAAAAAATAACCCATATTCCATTCCCACACTGGAATATTTTCACTAAAAGTAGACAGTTTTTTAAATCATTCCCTTATATTGCAATATCTTTTTGCTTTTAATTTATTAATTCTATACTATTATAATAAAGCGTAAACACACTTCTTTGTTGCCTAAGATGTCAGCAATCACAGCATATTTTTGATTTTTTGATTTGATGAATTCTGATTTTAATAAAAGGCACTACACTTACGTCACGCTTTAAGCTATATATTTTCACGCCTTTAAACATAGGGGTACATATTTTGGATAAAAATCCTAAAGTGGGAAAGAGACCATAAGTTGCTGCCAACATCAAGGAAGCAAGGTTGCCATAGTTTATCATGTCATGTCATTTTGACATTTGCAATTGATAATTTGACAAATGTAAACAATAAAATTTAATGTAGATAATTTTATGTAGATGAAGTCACATGGGAACAGTTAGTTTTTTATAAAATAACTAAAAATACTAAATATCGTAATACTGTCTATGGAATTCGAAGTGTTTAATGCGTTTGATTGAATTGTATTATCAAATTGGCGAATTGGCACATGGAATTTTGATTGTAGAAATCATTTACAACTGTAGATAAGATAAGTTCCAATTATTTAGTGTGCAAATGATAACATTATCGGACATGACATATGGTCAGTTAAAGTGTGTACTAAATCTAACACGTCAAATGGATTTTATTTATTTGTGCTCGTATATGGATGATGTAAAAGATGGAAATACTAATGAAGGTATTATTTTTAAATTTTCTTGTACAGTTAGGGAAATAGTCGGTACTAGATTTGAACATTTTGTTAGAATAGGAAGATTTTGACTTGTTGCAAAAAATTCTGTAAGTTGAACACGGTGTATTTCCACAACTGTACATATAGAAAGTATAATTAATGATTTTTTAAGAATAATTGATGATCTATATTTACATTTTTTTAAAAGTAATTTATGGTTAGAATTTTTAAATATTTTTTATAGAGAACCTTTTGACGGTTTAGCCCATATTTGAAAATATTTGAGGAACATAATAAAATTGATGTCGCTCTTTAAAGCAAAATGATATTTTTTTTAAAGAAATTTAATTTAATAAATAGGAGCGTTTTTTAGTATTTTTTTTATTAAAAGTGTAAATGTGAGCTATTTATCTAAGAAAATAAAAACGATACACCTTGAAATTAAAACTTGGTAGGTTTTGTTATATCTTAAAATTGTGATTAATGATTTTTAGTTATTTCGTGTTTGTTCAAGAGATAATTTAAAAGTGAATTATACATGTTTGTAATATCTTTTGGTATATTTCAGCTGATTCTGATGCACAAAGGCGTGCTATCATCAAAGAGAAGATCAACAAATACCTGAGTTATGCGGAAACTATTTACAACAACCATCTTGTAAATACAGAAGATAATGTGAGTAAATTTTATAATATATAGATGGAGTGTTTTTTACAATGACCAACTTAATCGACAGAGGAGGAGACGCACATATAGAGGATGTATCCTCTTCTTATGCATCTCCTACACAATAAAATCCACGTTCCCTATTCAATACTAATATGAGAAATGGGTGGGAAGGAAAAAGGACTTAAGTTGGGTCTCCGGCACCATACTTATCAGACTGTACGCGGAATTGCTCCCAATTCAATTCTGTCTTGTGTGTGGTCGTGGTATTACTGGGGCGAGTCAATACCACAGTGCGAAGATGTTAAAACGGGCTCTACCACTGTCTGTGGTGGAAACATGGGGTTATAAGTCTCTACAGCAACGTTCGTTGTGTTGTGTAGGAGGAGGGTGAGGTGTGTGAGGTGGGGGAGGTGGGGGAGGTGTG